ACAACACTCAGCCAACTCAGGGCCGGCCCGTGGCATAGGCACCATAGGCAAATGCTAAGGGTGCTGTATATCCAGGTGGGCGCCAGAAATGAGCGCGGTTAAGTTGGTTTTGTTTTCGATATTCTTGACACACATTCAGTTACAAACGGCAATAACTCAAAAACCTCTTACCCTAAAAAGATCTAAAGTGTGTTTCATACAAAAAGACAAAGCTGGTTATGTTTCACAGCTGTCTTTCTTTATTTTGGCTCCACACTACGAGCACTGCTCCGTTAAAGCCTTCGCAATATGTGTTTAGCTGAGATAGCTCGCGCTGAGAGGAGCTCTCAGCAAGGGACCGTCGGAAAAGGGCTTCTATTTTTCGTTTTTCTGCTCCGCTCTTCGCGAGCTCTCCCTGTTGCGAGGGTTTAAGTGTGTGTGTGCGTGTGTGTGTGTTTGTTTCTTTGGTGCTGTCTATGATTGTGTTTGAATGAGAGACAGTGTGGTGCTGTGTGTCTGTTTATACAGACAGCTTGTTATAGCCTCCCCTCTAAAATATAACACTGTATATGGAAAGCATCGTCAATGCACCGGGATGCACTGGAATATCGAATTGAACCGAAGGCATGATAATCGTAACCGAACCGTGAGACCAGTATAGGTTCACACCTCTATTGATTTGTGTATTTATCTTTTTTTATTTTAATCAAGTAAAGTAATGCATGCTACTCTCTTTAAGTATGCAGGTTTTAAGTACTTAAATAAGTGTAAACTACATTGACATTGTGAACTAAACAATTCCCGTTTGTCTCCAGACACGTACATACAGAAAACTAAAAAGTCGTACATAGACAGCAGAGCAAGAAGAAATCTGGGCAACATCAATTCAGAATTACACGATGTACAGAGGATCATGGTTGCTAACATAGAGGAAGTGCTTCAGCGGGGAGAAGCATTATCTGGTGAGTGAACACTTTACACAGCCTCCTTTACTCTGACATTATCATTTTCGGGATTATCTTTCATTGTAATCTGTAACGTTAAGTTTGTGAAAGTAAAAGGTCTGAAGAGATTCAAAGATGAATGTGGCTGATAAATAATTTATACAGTCTATAAAAATAAAGAGCTGAGTTGTTAGTAATTTCAGACTTGGGACCTGCACAAACCTACGTAGGTCTGGCAAAAATCCCGTGGTCTTCAATGTCTGCCCGTGAAGTTTGGTTTATGTCATCAACATTGAGAAACACTGTCTTCTGCACTAAGAAAGCAAATCCTATTTGGATGCACTTCACAAAGATATTGTAAAACCAATGTCATCACTGAGGAAGCTTCTCGACCTCAATTCAGATCTGGGCTTGGTCGCAAAAACTGCTTAGACTAGACTTAAAAAGTAACCATACCATACACCATAACATTTTAAAGTCATTTACAAAAGTCTTTTTAATTTGAAAGTGAAAACCAAGACTTATTCATGGCTTAACAGCGGTCCTGTTTATGCAACTGGCCTATGGTAATGAGTGCTTTGTTTGCAACTTGTGCCGTAATTGTAGACCTATCAAAACAGGGCCATTTTAACACAGACTTTAAGGCCACATGGCAACTGATTTAGGTCAATCTGCAAAAGTTTAATATTGTTTTATCGACACGGCACCCTAAAACATGTCTTTTGGATAAAAAGTTTACAAAGTGGGAAAATTGCCAGCTACATAGCTGCGGGGATTGGCTAAACACCCCACTAGCTATTCTATGCATATTTTTGCATATGGGCATAAAAAAACGAATGGAAATGGCAAGATCGCCATTAATTTTGAAAATGTGCATAAAAAACATGCGCATAACTGAGTAGAATACACTTTTTATTCGATTTGAAAAGATGAACATAAACTGCGATGGAAACACTTTTATTGCACAAATTCCAGTATGTGCATTAAAAAAAGGTCATGTGATTGTGTTATAAGAAATCATGTGATGATGAAAATGTGTGTGAGCGGATAAACCAGCAGGCTGAGCACACAGTAAAACGTCTGAAATGCCATTGATCATTCTAAAATGCTTTAACCATTTCAGTATCCATGTTAAAATAATATAATTACCTCCATAATCAAGAATGTCTGTGTTCCACGTCTGACGTTTTCTAACAGCTTTCACTGCGTGTCAGGATTGCCTTCTGAGCTGCAAGTCATTTATTAAATAAAGAAAAGATTGACGTAGCTTCTCATATTGCTGCAAATTCCGTTTCTACCATTAGTTACCGCTAGTTAATCAGGAACTGACGATTTTGTTCACTTTGACTCGTTGGATAGAAACGCTGCTTTATTCGCTTGTCTTTTATGCGATTATCGAGTTTTGCACTTAAAGTTTAGTCACATTTTTGGATGGAAACATAGCTACTGACATCACCATACCACGTAATCAGAAGGAAGAACCCCTCACATAAAAACCAGTGTCCAAACATTGCAACCCACTCATCTGATTATGCAACACTGTAGTTTAAACAGTTCCAAAGTTGGAATTAGAGTAGGTTAGGAAAATATTACACTACTCACTAGCACCGTCTGATGAGTAGCATATTTTGTCATCAAGATATGCTAACTAATTTTTGTATTGTGGCAGTAGAGATGCCACCATACTCAAAATGATATTGAACCATTCTGTAAAACCCTCCACTGTTCAATACGCATATTTAAATTGTTTAAAAGTTTTGCATTTAAATTTAAAAATGGCATTTCCCCATTCCTTTAGTTACTCTCTAAACTGGCTTTGCATGTATTTGAATGTAGTAAACATCCACTAAACTTTTTCACTGTCCTCAGGTCCAGTCATTCACACCATTATTAGACTATTGCCCTAGTTTTGACAGCGTGCTAATGCACGTAAAACCAGACGCACACACTTCTCGTCACTATCAGTGTTTAAACTCATAAACCTTTTTTTAATCAACATTGAACCTCATAGCGTGAAGAGGACTTGCGCTCGAGATTTGAGAAGACCTTATCTAAAAGGGTGAATGAATGTTACAACTCTCAAATTAGGTCCTGATTCTGACTGATGAAACTGTTTGTGTGAATTCAACGCAAGTCTTCGTACATGAGGCCCCAGATCCTGAAATGAACAGTGAGGAAAGAGCTGATATTATAGTATACTTTGTTCACTTTGAACAACAAAAAAAATATTCACAGCATATCTAAAATCATTTGAAGCCATGAATGCCTGTTAATAAACCACTTAGTGTTACAGTTCAGTACTCTACGGTAGACATTCATTTCTGTCTCCACTTTCAAAAGTACTAAAATAACAAACCCATAACAATTTTTTTGCGACTTCTTCATAACTGTGCATGGCACAACAGTATGGTAACAAAAAGGTGGAGCTAGACTTGCCAATGAATGCCACTGGTTTACAGAGAATTGTCACTTGCATGTGCAACAAGCCATAACAATCACATCTAAATATGTACAAAGCGGACCACTTTCTTCCTCTATTTGCTGCTCGTCTGCATTTGAAATAATGAAATTGAGTGCAGAGAAGGCAATCTGTACACGGCTTGATGTATGTGAGTGAGAATGACATTATTGTTTGCAACACCAAGTAAAAAGATTCTCTTGGCAGTGGGAATGCAAGGCTGATCAGGTTGACCTATATCGAATCGTACTGTACCTTACCTTATGATACTCAGTGGAATCAAGGCATTAGAATACCCCTACAATGAAAGCAAAATATGTTCCTAAATGATAGTTTGAGCAGATAATCAGAGTCAGTTATTCTATGACCCTTTCTGTAAACTAAATGAATGGAATTTTGAATGAATCTTCAGAATTATTTAGTGAATCGCTCAGACAAGGACTTGGACACTTGGTGAAGGTACAGTGCTCAGCATATTTGAGCACACCCCTCACAAATCTCTCTTTTAAAGTCATGTTTTAACAGGAAGCTCTACAATATTATATTTAAGCATATACATTAGATTAGTCAGTACTGAAGCCAAATCTGGAGCTTATCTATCAAATAACTTGCGCTAACGCTCCAAAAACACCCAAAGTTTTTGTTATAGAAAATATTAAATACAAATTTTAAAAATTAGGGAAAATCAAGAGAAGGAAAATAAATCAAAAAATTTACTTAAAATTTTGTAGGTTGTATTTTTATTTTTTAAATTTTGCTTGAATTTAATTGTATTATCTTTCAATTTCTAAAGGTGCTCGGTGACTAAAATGGTATTTTAATAAATATATCTGTTTAACAAACATGTTTCGTTTAAATGCACCAAAACACAGTCTATATTCACTGAGAATTAGATTAAAATATTCATTTTCAAAATGGGGTGTACTCTATTATGCAGACCACAATGATAATCGATCCATTACTAGGTTTAAATCAGCAAAATTACCAGCGCACAACACCAGAATAATTGATAATTATAGAAAAACAATATTAAAATACGTTTCAATCCTTATCTTTAATATATTTTATAAGAAAAATCTTGAGTTTTTCTTCTATTGGATAGATGTAAAGTGGCATTTAAGGGTACTGGTATGAGCAGATTACTCTTTGCATTTGTTTAAGTATAACAGTATTTTGAAATGCTTTGAAATAATGTCTTTTTTTTTCCCTTCCTGTAGCCTTGGATTCCAAAGCAAGTAATCTGTCCAGTCTGTCTAAGAAGTACCGCAGTGATGCCAAATATCTGAACACCCGGTCTACCTACGCTAAAGTGGCTGCCGGCGCAGTCATTATCATCACACTCATCATTTACGTGCGCTTCTGGTGGCTGTGAAATACACGGAACAAATTCAAGCAGAAACTCTCAGGGCCTTGCTCACAAAAAAAAAAATGGTTCGGACACCAAATAGTCTGTTCTGGCCTTAAAGTTGTGTCTGTTTTGACATACTGAATGCAGGTTAGTGAGGGTTTGTAATGATGATGTCCTTCCTTATTTATAACATGTCAGTGGAAGGAGTTAAAGATGCGTGTGTTGCCTTGTATGTCTCCTGTATGTTGGAAACAGAGCTATGCAAATTATATTTGGTATACCTTGTGGGTTAAGTTGTGATTTATTTGTAAAATGTGAAGGTAGTTTTTTAGAAACAACTAAATTCTGGAAAAAAAAGTTTTGTTTACAAATGATGCACAATAACAAAAATCAAATACATTTACTCACTTTTTCAAGAATGATAAATGCTCGCTTCTGTGGAGCAGGAAATAAATATGTATCTGTGCATTATTAAAGAATCACAAGTGAATTTCTGGATGAAATCCAAATTTTCATTTCACTTGGAGATTTAGGCCATGAGGTCAAAGTCATCGCGCTGAAAGAAAAAAAAAAATTGTAACTTTAACAAACAAGCGATTAGTTCAAATGTTTTGTATTCATTTAACCAGCATCAATGTGATCATAGAAACGGCAGCATTCATTCAAACTGGGAGAAATGTGTTAAATAAACGTGAAAATATTTTCCTGAATGCATTTCATTATTAAACGTTTTGCATACACTGATCAAAATTGGAGGTATTTTATTTAAAACATCGGCTATATATTTTTGTTAACCGATTAAATTGTAAACTATTTGACTAAAATATTCAATAAAGAATATTCATATTTCTAATTAATGCTGTTCGTTTTTATCGAAAAATTGTGAAATGTCCAGCACAATATTAATAGTTTCTTAATCATCAAAAGCATACTAAAATGAATTCTGAAATTAAAAAAGTAATGATGCTACAAATTCAGCTTTGCCATCATCAAAGTAAATTCAATTTGTAAAACATTTCAATACAAAAGCTTTACTTTAATTTGTAATACTCGTTTCAATAGTTACAATTTTAAAAAGTATTTTAAAAACAGCCTTGGTGAGTGTAATCGACTTGATATTGAACTCTAGTGTATGATCATTTATTCATGTATTGTGACGTACCTCCTCATTGTAGTTCATGACATGTTGTTTGATCTTGGAGGAATCCACCCATGTGACAAAATCTTCCATATTTCTGTGAAAATATTGCACAACAAAAGTTGCCAAAGATTCACATAATTTAACTTTTTTCTTTTATCTTTCTTTCTTTCAATGGACAAACCTTGTTACAAGAAATGCAGGATCAGTGATGACTTCTGGCCCAACACGAATATCTGTTGCTCAGTCAAGATGCATTTTCATTGACAATTATACAGAGTGACAAGGGCTTGATGTTTTTTTGAGCATACAGTTTACAATCAGAGCACTTTAGGTATATTAATGTAATCTCAGCCATAACGGTGTCCATAAAACATGTAACGTGTCCTCATATACTCGAAGCAAAGGTTTGAAATTACCAGAGCATTGATAAACTGTTAGAGAACACCTTAAAACTGCCCATAGAGTAGTGTTTGAATGAATTTGTAAATATGTGCTGTAAAATGTTCTCTCAATGGCTAAAACAGACACACACAGACTAAATCAGCGGTGAGAAAACATAAGCAGTATTAATAGCAGACTTAAAGTGCTGGTTTACATTGGGCCACTTCATGCATTTTCTCAGACGGCTATCTTGATTTCTGAAAATGGTCCCATTTACATTTGACCACATGAATCCACTAACAACTCAAACTGTCACCTGTGGCTTTAGGTTGCGTGTGCATCATATAGGCAAAAACATGTGCGCTCTCATGTTTATTTAAAATTGATATATACACTCACTGGCCACTTTATTAGGTACACCTTACTAGTACAAGATTGGACCCCCTTTACCCCGCAGAACTGCCTTAATGCTTTGTGGCATATATTTAAGGTACTGGAAATATTCCTTAGAGTTTTTGGTCATATTGACATGAATGCATCATGCAGTTGCTGCAGATTTGTTGGCTGCACATTCCTGATGTGAATCTCAGGTTTCACCACATCCCAAAGGAGCTCTATTGGATTGAGTTCTGGTGACTGTGGAGGCCATTCGAGTACAGTAAACTCATTGTCATGAAAGCAGTCTGAGATGATTTGATTTGCACTTTGACATGACGTGTTATCCTGCTGGAAGTAGCCATCAGAAGATGGGTACACTGTGGTCATAAAGGGATGGACATGGTCATCAAAATTACTCCTTATGTAGGGTGTGGCGTTGACAATGCTCAATTGGTAGTAATGGGCCCAAAATGTGCCAAGAAAACATCTACTACATCATTACACCACCACCACAACCACCACCAGCCTGAACCGTTGATACAAGACAGGATGGATTCATGCTTTCATGTTGTTAAAGCCAAATTCTGACCCTACCATCTGAATGTCACAGCAGAAAGACCAGAGCAATGTTTTTCCAATCTATTGTGTTATTTTGGTGAGCTGTGCAAATTGTAGCCTCATCTTACTGGTCTTAGCAGCCAGTAGTAACACTCTGTGTGGCCTTCTGCTGCTGTAACCTCTCCGCCTCAAGGTTGGACATGTTGTGCATTCAGATATGCTCTTGGGCAGACCTCTGTTGTAATGAGTGGTTTTTTGAGTTACTGTACTCCTGATATTTGCTCTTTTTCATGCCATTCTCTGTAAATCCTAGAGATGGTTGTGTGTAATAATCAGCTTAGATCAGCAGTTTCTGAAATACTCAGACCAGCCCGTCAGGTACCAACAGTCACACCACGTTCAAGCCACTTAAATTACCTTTCTTTGCCATTCTGATGCTCGGTTTGAACTGCAGCAGATTGTCTTGACCATGTCTACATGCCTAAATGGATTGAGTTGCTGCCATGTGATTGGCTGATTAGAAATCTGCGTCAATGAGCAGTTGGACAGGTGTACCTAATAAAGAGGCCAGTTCCATAAACCAAGCTAAGTAATGTAAACATTTGCCTGCGGTAATTTGATGCTATTTTATTTTACTTAACCTTTTAATTATAATTAAAATTTTAGTCACTTAATATTAAATATATATACACTAGGGATGTAACGGTATTGTGAATACCGTCATACCGCAATATAAATTTTTTTCGATATTACCGTAGTCGCATGACTCGGTAAAACTATAGGTCTTCTGAGAAAATTTGCTCAAGCGAATGAAGCGAACGGGAGGTACCGGAAACTACAATTCCCATCAGCCCAGGCTTGGCCATAATCCCTTGCGGTCTGTTGTCGCTACAGATCCAGTAATGCGGAAATGGAGTGTGCTGCTAGAAGCGGGGATGAAAAAGAGCTGGGTGTTGTCGCCGCGCGCGTACTGAATAGTGGTGTTGTCGCGCGCGTACTGTAAAGCGGGGACGGAGGGTATGTCGCGGAGGCACTTTTGATCATTTTGGAAGGGAACTTTCTATCCAAGACTAAAAAGGGCATGTGCACTGCACAGGTTGAGCCCTGTGTGTGCACGTGCCTGCAAGTTGGGGAATACGACTAATAATCAGTCATGGGGACTGCAGAAACACAGCACACTGTTCAGATTGATGCAGACATGAGATCTCTATCTCACTCATGGTTTGTCCTCTCAAGTGGGGGAAAGACAATGCACAACGTTACCCACTGCTGTCAACCTGGGCCAAGTCATATCTCTCTTGTCCCACAAACCTCAGTCCCAAATGAGAGGGTTTTTTTTCTATTGCAGGGGACATTGTAAATACCCAGAGATACCAGCTTTTACCAGATTATATTTATATGATAATTTTCCTTTAAACCCATCTCTATCTAAGTGAGTGAGTGATTAAATGTTGAATGTGATGAGTTTTCAACACTACTAAATTGAAACTTAATTTTTTTACATGGTTTAATATTTTTTTGTTATTAAAATTGAAGTTCCTGTTTCAAAGCTTACAGATAGATGACTAATCTGTATGTCATTGACACTTTTGGCACTTTTTTTGGAGTATTTTCATAAGTTTTGTTTTTTCTGTAAATGATTCAATAAATACCGTACCGTGACATTCATACCGAGGTATTACCGTACCGTGAAATTCTGATACCGTTACATCCCTAATATACACCAAACATCTTTAAGAAAAGAACAATATATACATTATTGCAAACAAGACAAATACAAACTACAACATCAACTCCATTTTTTTAATGTTTATGTTGATTTTTGTCCTGTTAATTAAAATTTTACTTGATATTTTCTCTCAACATATTAATTATGTGTACAAATTTTTGAACTGTGATCTTTAGTTTATTTGTTGTTAGATTTATTCCAAATTTTGCTTTGGTACTGAATAATTTAATGTATATGCAAAAACATAAAGCATTTTGTAGATATATTAATTCAAAATATTGATCTGTGAGGGGTGTACTTTGCTATATTTATGTAGCATATGAATTACATAATTAAATAAAAAATATATTAAGAAAGCACTGACTGATATAAAGAAGTAGGCTACATTTCTTAAAGAATGACTTTAAAGCTGCAAACCGGTTGATGAATCCGGGCAAGAAAGGTAATTTAAGTGATTTGAACGTGGTATTGTTGTTGGTACCAGACAGGCTGGTCTGAGTATTTCAGAAACTGCTGAGCTATAGGGATTTTTACACACAACTATCTCTAGGATGCATCTATGCTCAACCTTCAGGGTTTCGCGACAGTAATGTGCACGAACAGCTATCTACATTATTTACACTGAACTCAGATTAGTTAGATCAAATGATCTTCAACTTTCTGATATGGAACCAATTTAAGCGTGGATGTTTAGTTCGGCTCATTGAAGTCAGGTTTTTGACTTTAATCCCCTCTTTTCTAAACCAATTTTAGGAAATTCATTTAGACACGTTTTGTCTGGAAACCACCATAGGAAATGGTCTAAGCAAATCTGATTTATATCAGTCTCAAATGCGTTTTAAGGGCCATTTAGCTATCCGATCACAGAAAAAATGCATGTAGTGACCAGGTGTAAACAAGAGCAGTTTAGAGGCATTTAGCAGGTGAATCAACTTTTCCAGAAACTTCAATTTGCCTAGCCATTTTAAACTCCAAACTAATTTCCTTTTGGCCTGATTTTGATCAAAACGACATCATCCACCCATTTAAATATAAGAATATGAACATATGCAGAGATCAGCAAGACTTGTGATTGAAGGATACGGCCCTGCTCAATGAAGGTGATGGCGTTCCTTAGGTTCTGAGCCATGCGCAGTTTCAGCATGATTGTGGGAAGCCGCCTCCTGTAGAAAAGACAACATTGAACAACATTCAAAAATTGTCTGCATCTCCTGCACTGCATAAAAACACTCACATATTAGTTGTCAGTGTGCAGGACTTGTGTAAATTATTTTATTATTCAAATCAAAAAATATATTGAAATTTGAATGTTTGAATTGAAAGTTTATGGTGTCATTTCAACAAATGTACGGTGCTGCTTTCAAAAACTCAACAACAACAAAAAAAGAATTTTTTTATTTAAAAACCTTACATTTAAATCTAGTACAAGAACTATGAAAAATAATGCACAACAATATTTCAGAAACCGCTTTTGAAGATTACCAGAATTGAATTCATCAAATTGTTTTAAAGTTCTTTGAACATGACTGTTTAAAACAGAGTAGCACATTCAAAACATCATCATTACTCTAAAGTACATGAAGGGCTTTATTTCATGGCACTATATATGTGTTTGTATGCATGTATGTATGTATGTATGTATGTATGTATGTATGTATGCTGGAGGTGCAAATTTTAAAGGTGCTTAATTTAAAATGATTAGTGATTTAATAAGTCTTTGAATCTGGTGTCCACGAAAGCATGGGGACCCTAAACATTAATAATTAATGTTTCTTGATTATCAAATCAACATATTGGAATAATTAAATAAAGCACAGTAACTTTACTCACCTGCAGAATGCAGATGCTGACACTTCATTTGCGAGAGAGAGGTTCTGTTTGGTGGGAATCAAACCGACACTGTATCTGCAAAACAGAAATCTTACAAATGTAGAAACTACTAAAACTTTAGTAAACTCCTTACAGAATGAGGTGTACACAAAAAACCAAGGTCAACAAGCTTTTAAAAATCGGAATAATATACAGATTCACATTTTATTTACTGTACAATTTTTATTCTGAACAAAAAATATAAGACATCTATTTTATCTATCATAAATTTTACCATGACTTACAGATAGCGCTAATAAACATGTATTACAATAGTTTGTATAGAAATAAAATCTTGTTTCGAGTATAGTTAGATTTAGAATTATTAAATAACATTAATAGACTTAAGATTTAATACAAATTAAATTTCGTCAAACAAACAAATAACTTTAAATATAATAAAGTTCATAAGATTCCTTTTAAACCTGTTTTTAATCATTTTTATTCTTTGCTGTTTTTCTTTTCTTCTTTCTTTTATTCATGTTTATGTAAAGTATTTAGATTACCTTTGTGTATGGAATCTGCTATATAAATAAACTTGTCTATTATCGCTTATGCTTTTATATATTCTAAACTAAAACAATTTCTGTATATTCATGACAATAAAATGTGACAGGTTCCCAAACTTACAGTTTTTCCAAGAAAAGGGCTGTACTCTGAGATCTGAATCCATCTTTTGCGTCCAAGTCCCGTATTTTCTGCGCCAATTCTCTGATATTTCGACTAAGTTTGTTGTATCTAAAGAGAAATCACGAATGCATTAATTGATAAGCCGCGTTTTATTCACAGTGATGTATTAGACCCATAACTTCAGAGAAACACAGTCATTGATAGAAGCATTTTCTTTACTCACTTGGTATAATCTTCCCTCTTCTCAATATGGTATTTTCTCAACACTTTAACCTCGTGTATATTGTTGTCAACCTCCCAGTTAATAAAATCAACTTTCTTCAAGAGTTTCTGCTCGTGAAATTTTAATTTACGTACCATTTTGCTAAAAAACACGGGCTATATTTATGGCTAAACGTGTTAATAACTTGCTCACTTCAGCTTACGCACGCGTGCTTTTTATTCACTGTGGTTTTCTGTAAAAACGTAGCTGTTAAGCTCGATATCGCCGCACAGTGTTCAGGAGGGAAACACTATAATTTTTAAATAAACAAATAAATAAACAAATAAATAAATAAATACATTTATCAATTAATCTATTTATTAATTTATTAATTAATTAACGCTTTTATCCAGAGCGACTTTAACAGATAAAGAATCCAACTGATCAAACAACACAGCCTGTCAAATAACACATTTTACTTAAAATTATAACTTTATAATAATAATATTAATAATAAAAAATCACAAAACAAATAAAATGGCCAAATAAACAGTAAAACAATAAATTAAGTAGCAAAATATACTATACATTTTCATTTCAAAACTTTGGCTACTCGCAGCTTTGCAGTATGTAAACTGATCAAATTAGACAGATTTTGCGCTGACGTAAACGTATTATAATTGATCTAAGTCATCAGGAGATGTCACTGGGGGAAAAAATGTATTTTCACATGACAGGAAAACCGACACGACATAAATCACTATCAAACCTTAGTTTCATCTTTGCAGAAAGTGAGGTAAAGGAAGTGAATGTTTATAAGAAATGGCGATCATATCCATCCATTGGACGGCGTGTGTGAGCCTCGAACAGGTAGGGTACAGTACAAATTAAAGCTCTTTACAGACATTACGAACATTATAATAGCCTGTGCTACTTGGAAATTCAATCATGACAGCGATTTTCATTTAAATGTAAGGACGTTCATGTAGCCTACTTTATGCGCGGAAAGCTGACAGAAAGTTTGATTTTGGAATTTAGAACCAGAAACCTATAAACTACGAACAAACGTTTTAGCTTTGCGAGTGTGTTGAAATAAAGAGAGAAAGAAATTTGATATCTTGATGGTGATAGTGAGAATGTGCTCTGGGGAATTTCTTTCATATATTTTTTTAAGTGTTGGAACTTGAACTATATGTAATATCATTAATACAGACTGTATGCAACAGAGTCTTTATTTGACAAAAAAATAAATTTCAATAAATTTAATTTTCTTTTTAATAATATTATTAATCATTTTGCACGTGTCCTTGAAATTGCTGTCCACCCCATCATGTGGTAAATGCCCCTTTAAGAAACCCTCTGATGTACTCATTGGCATCCCCATTTTGCCTTCTCTTCAGAGTCTCAGTCTAGTATATCCTTTAAAAGTCCATATAATAGAGCTCATTGACTGTTTGAAATAAAAACACAGCCCTAAGTATTTCTACATTTATGTGAACATCTGTATAATTAAATAATGTAAATAACATGTGTATCTAATTATTTACCTTATTCTGAAAAAAAAAATCTGTATCATTAAGGTGTTCAACTTGAGTTGCTTCCTACACTCCATTCACTCCTCCAATACAATGTACAATGTAAAGATTTACATTCAATATGCAAATATAATTTAAAGCACAATAATTGTTTATTTTCTCATTAATTTCCATATCAATAAAACCTAATTGATAACAGCAGAGGCGGTGTGGTGGCTCAGTGGTTTGCAGTAGTTAGTGAAAACAGAAGCTGAATTCTTGAAAACTTTTACAGCCCTTTTATATTAATGTTTCTTGTTGTACCAGTTGTTTTTCAAATGTTCCTCATATTTAGTTCACTGATTAAAGCCCTTGTCCACCCGGTCATGCCAGTGTTCACCCTATAATCTTGTTTTTAATGAAAATAAACTAATTATTTATACAGTAACCTCAGCAAAGCATCGTGTGTGAGTCCTTAATAAACCAATAAGTGCCAGTTAATATTGTTTAAAAGTTTTACTAAATATTTTAGATTTTGGGTTTTATTTTAAAAAGAACATGCAGCAATTGCGTATTTTATTGGGAAACAAACGAAATGTCCATTAATATATTAATATAAATAGAGATTTTCCATAATCTAAAAAGTTGGGTTGGTAAAGGGACACATTACCTTTCTGAAAATATACATTTTATTATCACACTGCAATGAAAATATACTTATACTACTTTGAATTTGTCCATGACAGGGTTGATACAATTTGAGGTTTGTTTACTGTTTTTCTGCTTGGAAACTATTTATAAAAATTGCAGGAGCTTTACCAACATTAATTTCATACAGCCGAAGTACTAATAATACAACAAGTTTGTGGTTAAATCAAAAATCTCAAACTTTTTTTTTTTTAATTGTTGATGCCTCAAAGGCACTTTGTAGTGATAATGACCCAATAATCCATATCTCATTTTTATACAGATATTGAATCAATTTGAAGTTAAAGACTTATAGACTTAAAGGTATGGGTACATTCATTGAATACTTTTTATGTATTATTCTTTGAAAATGATTTTTCACCAAAATACAGAAATCATTTCTGCATTTTTTGTGAAAGCAAGTATCTTACAGTACTTCAGAAATACTCAAAAATGCATCTGTCATTGTTTTCAAACTATTCTATTTGATTTGCCAAAGTCACACAAGTGACAATTTCACATGTCACTTCTATAACGGAGAGATGTCACATCCATAACGACACTTTAAAAAAATAAAATAAAATCAATAACTTTTGTTTTATAGAGAGCCAACTCTTATGTATTTGATTAGCTTTATTTCTTTTGGCTTGTGCAGTTTAATTCACAGAATTTCTACAAAGTATGTTGTGTACTGTAAACTCGAAGACTTTTTTTTTTGTCACATCCATAATGCAGTTTAGTTCTCTCATTTAAAGTACAAAACATGTTTACAGATTGCTATTTTTCTGGTCCCTTAACTCTGTGTTCAGTTGTTCTGGAAAATATAAACAAATGTTTCAATATAATGTTGACGCATAATTCTATGTAAATTTACTGCAAATGTCACATCCATAACACTGGAATTGCATATATATATCAATATATATATATATATATATATATATATATATATATATATATATATATATATCGTTTTTATACAGAAATTGAATCAATTTGAAGTTAAAGACTCATAGACTAGTTTGACTTAAAAGTATGGGTACATTCATTGAATACTTTTTATGTATTATTCTCTGGGATTTTTTTATTTCCAATGTTAGACCTTTTTTAAATAAATCAGACTCCATTTTTACCTGAACATTTAAAAAAATATGTTGATCATTAAGGGGATATATAATATTTAATGCTGTTTTAAATAACAACAGAAAACATTTTATACATTTTTGCCAAATGTATTTAACCATATATTTGATGTTATTTGATGTCTGACATAAATATACTGTTTAAAAAAATATAAGGAGCACTTGGAGTTACACTGTGTTGTTTAAGTGTTCCCTTTATTATTATTATTTTTGAGCAATATTTGATGGAAAGTGCCACCCTGTTGTGTTTTACTGTAACTTCAGCAGCTCAAGGCAAGTGAACAAAAGCACCAGCCTCAGTGGTTAGCCAGTTTTTAATGCAGCACATCAAACAAAAAACAATACAAAAAAAGAGCCTTTGTTGGATCACAAAGCAGTAGACGTCGGCTATTTAAAGTGCAAAAGAAAATAATCCTGGTCTGCATGGGGCTTAATTAATGGTTGACCTTCCTGATGCATGGTCTTAAATGGTTGTCTCTATTTTCTTAAAGAGTATTGTGTTTGTTTGGGTGTAACATACTATATGAACCAGAGTTCCATCTCACATTCCCTTTAAAAGCCAGTTTAAAAAGAACAATATTGAGAAGTTCTTCAAGTTCCCCAAACCGCTTTCTGCTGTTCTTGATCTGCTAAACTTCTGCTTAAGCAACAATTGTTCAGAACAGAATAATACCTATGATTATGCCTATTTGTAGTACTTTCATAGCAATTTAAACTACCCCTTAAATATGTACAGCAAGAAACAAAAAGATTTCACTGCAAATCCTCTGTGGAAGAATGACTGAGTAGTCCTCGGCTGTACACACATACATTTCAGAAGCTGTGTGATTGGCATTACCAACCCATACCAGGAAAAATTTGAAATATAACCGTCATGTCTGTTGTCTAATATTCATCAGTATCATCAGGTGTGCACTTTCTTCTTGAGCTTGAATGTTAAAATTAAAGAGTTAAAGAGTTGCCAGTCACTGCAATGGCCCTCCGCCAATTTGAGTTTGAGATTTGACTGGAGAGATTTGTAAAAGTAGGACTTTTTAGTATGTATTGTATGTTTTCTATGCTGCATTTTAAAGACTATGGGCTCTAACATACACCCAGCACAATGAGGCGCCTGGTATGACACAAGTCAAGTGTTTCTTAATAGTTTCAGCCAGCAAATTTATTTGCATCCATCTGTGCTCACATGGGGATGAAATATATTCAAATGCATTTTTGCCATGCAACACTGAATAATTGAATTATTTTGTTATTTAAACAACAGTAATATACATCAATATATAATAATTTAGTAATATACACTTATAGGTGGGTCCCCAATGTGCATTCACTCTGTTTGTTACATACATCAGCACACAAATATTTCAGATATTCAAAATGAAAGGATTAGAAAGTATTCCTGCTTATCCTGAGATGGTCTGCTCATGCATTTTAAACATGCAGATCCATTTCCTTTCTGAAGCTGTATTTGCGATTGCAAATTCCACCATGTAAATAGCGAATCCACCATTTTGTGAGTGCAAATGCAACCTTTTTAGGGTTTAGGGTTATAGTCCCCAGCAACCCTTTAAATTTAGGGTTATAGTCCTCAGCAACCCTTTAAATTTAGGGGTATAGTCCCCAGCAACCCTTTAAATTTAGGGTTATAGTCCATAATCACTGATCCATCAATGTAGAAAAGTGATGTAAAATTATAATTTTCATAATTAATAAAAAAAAATTACACACTAACATCCAGGAAAACTCCTGATCATAGATATATGTGTATATGTGTATATCTCTGGCTTTGGATGGCCACAGTCCTCCACTGTACCTTGGTCCCGCATTCATTTCAAAGGAGCGCTACCCTGTAGCAAGATGGCGGCGCTATTGACGCATTCCGTCCAATAGACAACTATAGGCCAGGCGACATCTA